GGCCCATCCACACCCTGTTTGACCAATCTCGAGGCAGCTGCCGCAGCAGTCAGCAAGGACCTCAGGGTATTTGGGGCGTTTTGGGGTTGAGGGTTTCGGGTTTAGGGTGTTTTGGGGATTAGGGTTTAGGATGTTTTGGGGTTGAGGGTTAGGGTTTAGGGTGTTTTGGGGTTTAGGGTTCAGGGTGTTTTGCGTTCGGTTGCTCAGATGAAATGGCACAGGGCCCTAGGCCCGTGCTTAGGGACCACGAAACTGGATTAGAGCGGTTTGTATTGGGGTTTGGGACTTGCTTCAGGTTTAGGGCTTGTTGGTTGGGATGTTCCCCCTAAAACTACCAGTCCTTCATAGGGATTCTAGTACCCCCAATTACAATCCCGATTGAGGACTGTTAGCACAAGGGGGAACATCCCAACCCTAAACCCTAAACCCTAAACCCTAAACCCTAAACCCTAAACCCTAAACCCTAAACCCTTTCGGTTTAGTTATGGTTTTGTGTGCGAGTTTTTTTTGGGTCTCAAGAGTTTTGCTCGGTTCAGGGTCCGAGTGCCAAAGCCCAGAACCTGAATCCCCAAGCCCTAACCCTAGGGGCTGAGTAGATAAGCTTTAACCTTCTTGGCTACATATATATATATATATATATGTATATGTATATGTATATGTATATGTATATCTCTCTATATCTATCTATCTATCTCTATATATATGTATATATACAGATATTCCTATTGCAAGTAAAAGGTTAACCTTTTTTGGGCCAGGGTAGTCAGCCCCCTCCAAAACCTACGAACCCCAAACTGAGAACCTAAACACTATAAACCCCAAGCTCTCAACTCTTCAGCCCCAAAATCCGTCCGACAACAGCCGCCTCTTAGGCCGACGCGGGGGAAAGGAGGGAACCCCCCCGGTGCTGATTGTGTCTGGAGAGGCTGGTTCACTGCAGTTGCTCAAGTTTTCGGGTTTTAGTATTCTAAATCCTTAGCCCTAAGCCCTGAACCCTAAACCCCCAAACCCCCCAAGCCCCCTAAACCCCCCAAACCTCCCAAACCCCCCAACCCCCAAACCCTCAAACCCCCAAACCCTGAACGGTGTCAGGGGTGCTTTTAGGAGTCGCGGGAGACTAATGCAACATACCACAGACCCATACCCCTTAACCTCGAACAGGAGAACATAAGGAATGGTTGTACCATAGTTTATCTTAAGGGCTATGCCCAAGGGGTATGTTGAATATATATATATATATATATATTAGATTTTTGGGGTCTGGGAGGGGGGGAGGGGGGGTTTTGGGTGTCAGGTTTTAGGGTTTGTAGGGCTGTAAGGTTCTTAGGGTTTTTCGGTGGGTTTTAGGGTGTTAGGGTTTTCGATTTTGGATTGCAGGGCTTTAGGATTTTTAAGGCTTCAGTGCTTTAGGGTTGGGGTGCAGGGTTTGGAGCTTTGGGTTTTAAGATTGGCGGGATCAGGGTTTTAGGGCTTTGGGTTTCAGGTAGAAATGTGGCACTGTGCAACTTATATTCTAGGCTGTAGGGTTTAGGGTGGAAGGTTGGGAGTTGGGATTTATCAGGTTTAGGGTTAGGATCTCGGGTATGATGTTGGGGGTTCCGCTAGCCAAGCTAGGAGCCATATGGCTTTGTCGGAAGGTGCTCCAAACTGTGAGCCATGGCGAAAACCCTAGACCCTGAAGACATTCTTCGAGCCCTAAACCCTAAACCCTAAACCCTAAACCCTAAAGCATTCCCTGTTTGTTGTCCTCAGCTCCTCGTGCAAGCCAGTGTCTCCCTGGCAATTTTCAAAGTTGGGTCCTTCAAGTTTGCATGAAAACCCCCAAGCCTGAACCCTATCAACTCAAAACCCTAAGCCCTAAACCCTATACCCTAGAAACTCGACTGCCCAGAGGCCTTCGCGGCCCTTGCGATCTCGCAGGGCTTGCCGGCGCCACCCAACCCGCTGCAGTACGGGGCGCGAAGGGTTTTGTGTTTTTTTCTGGGGGGGGGGGGGTAGGAAACTGTAGGGTTTTTTTTTGTGGGGTGGCGGGGGGGGGGGGGGGGGTGGGGAGGGGTAAGGCAGGAATCAGGGGAGGTTTGGGGTTTGCGGGCTATGGAGAGTTCATTTTTTCGACTTCGTTGTCCATGCTACATCCTGCTCAGAGATGCATAGGCCTCGTTGCTCCTTTTTTTGGGTCATGGAAGCTGAAAGGATAACCCTGAGCCCTAAACAGGGCGTGCACAACGCCGTCTGTCACAGCCGAAGAAAGCGGAAAAGTACCGAGCTGTCCCACGAGCGTAGGGGTCAGGGTTTCGGTTGTAGGGTCTCAGGCTCTTTGTTCACAGGTCCCCCCTAAACCCTAAACCCTAAACCCTAAAGAAGAGCGGTTGCCCTGCCTGCCGTTTGTCTACTCGTGTAAATATTCTCACGCACCAAGCGAAATAGAAGAGAGCGGCTGGCCTGGACTTATCTTTTAGGGTTTAGGGTTTAGGGTTTAAGGTTTTTGGTACATCTTCAATTTCGTGACACCTTATCTGGTCTCTCGCATTTGTCAATTTAGGCACGCATCACTTGGTACTTTGCTGTCGATTGAAACAGAATGGCAAAGCGAAGAGAGAAGGCAAAGCGGTCTAAACCCTAAACTTAAACCCTAAACCCTAAACCCTAAACCCTAGGGTTTAGGCTTTGACGTCTTAGACTGTATCGTTTGGGGCTGAGGGGTTTGCGAGGGATCGAAGGGACGTGGGCCCAATGCAATTCCTGTTTATTGTGTCGGACTCGGGGTTTCGGGCATTGTCGGATTAACCCTAAACCCTAAACCCTAAACCCTAAACCCTCAACCCTCAACCCTCAACCCTCAACCCTCAACCCTCAACCCTCAACCCTAACCCCGAAACCCGAACTACTGCATAGGCAGTCAAGGTAGATCTCTAACCCAAACCCCTAGAAAGCCCATCTCGTACCAGGCGTCTTGTCAGACACTTGCCTAAACCCTGAACGCTAAACCCTGAATCACCAGAAGCCGTAAACCCTAAACCCTGAAATCTAACCTAAAACCCCCCAAACCCTACACCGAATCATTTGGGAGTCTGCCTCAAACAACATCCTCTGCGGAACCCCAAATCGTTGGGTCTCGTAGGGTTCTTACCAGCTCAATCCGAGGGGCATGGCCCTGCTCCTTCGAGTGTAGGGAGGCCTTGAACAATTACATTCTATACCCTAAAACCCTAAATCCTAAACCCTAATACCCTAATACCCTAATACCCTAAACCCTAAACCTCTAAGCCCCCTAGAGCTCCTAAAAACCCTCCTGGCAGGCGCACGATGATGAAGCCCTGGTGAAGGAGGCCATGCCCGCCTTTAGGGTTTAGGGTTTAGGGTTTAGGGTTTAGGGTTTAGGGTTTAGGGTTTAGGGTTTAGGGTTTAGGGTTTAGGGCTTAAGTGTTTGGGGGTTTAAACCCTAAACCCTAGATGGGTTACGGGTTACGGATTTTGGGTTTTGGGGCCCTAAAACCTATCGGAGACCCTGAAAAGAAGCTGCTCCCCGAGAAGCCAAAACTTGGAGATGCCGCGGCGTTCCTGCCAGCTAAAGCTTCTACACTTTGGTCAAACCCTAAACTAGGACCGGGAGCAGGCCCTTATTTCGGTTTTAGGGTTGGGGTTCCCATATAACCCCCTTAAAACTAAACGGGGTACCCTGTTTATGCCTAGGTTACTCCTGGGTCTGGCTTAAAGCTATCGTTGCAATTGCTTATAGCCCCAATTAGGGTACTTATACCCTACTTACGAAGTCCCGTACGATCCTCACTAAGCAAGGTTGACGGCTTAGGGGTGTCGAGCTCAAGGTACAGGGTTCAGGGGGATTTTGTTCTACACTTTGGTCATAGGGTTTACGGTTTAGGGAGCTCGGGTTTAAGGTTTTAGGGGATTTGGTTCTACACTTTGGTTTACGGTTTAGGGGTTCGGGTTTCAGGCACAGGCTTTAGGTCTAGGGGATCACTAGAGGGGTCGAATAATTACTGAGAAGTATTCCCTTTTGGCCCCTATACAATTGGTCTATATTCCCCCCCCCCTTAAAAAAAAAAAAAAAAAAAAAAAAACTATTCTTGGTATTGAGGCTCCTAGATTAGAGGCTCGAAATTGGGCCGTTGCTCGGGTACTCTGAGAAGAGGCCGCATCATGCGGGTATGAGGAGACGTGAACTTGCTTGAGACCCTAAACCCTAAACCCTAAACCCTAAACCCTAAACCCTAAACCCTAAACCCTAAACCCTCAAAAGGCTGAATCTTTGTCACTCAAGCCTCCATCCGCATGTGAAGCACAGCTGCCCAGAGGTCGGTCATGAGGTACAGGTTCTGACCGAGGACGGGGGGAGGGCACGCCGCTGGCTTAGGGTTTAGGGTTTAGGGTTTAGGGTTTAGGGTTTAGGGTTTAGGGTTCAGGGTTCAGGGTTCAGGGTTTAGGGTTTAGGGTTTAGGGTTTAGGGTTTAGGGTTTAGGGTTTAGGGTTTAGGGCTCGCTGCGCCGGGTTGTGCGGATGCAGAAGGTCCCACAACATAGTACTGGAAGGTTCCTAGATACTAGTCTCGATAGGCCTTTTGGGATATTTTATATTTCCCCTTACTGGGTTTAAGAGGGCTATACTTAGGAATATTTTTCAGGCAGTTTTTAGGGCCATCCTAATTCGTAGTAATAAAGTAGTGCAACTTCTTAGTTTAATCTACAGCTGTACGCGGCCAGTGTCGTGGGGGATTCATGATGACCCTACTTACAACACCCATGAACGAGAATCCCAGCTTGAAGGGAAAGGGGCAAATTGACTGAACAACGGACGCTGTCGCAGAGTTCGCGCCACAGAACATCCCCATAGGGCCACTGGGCACCTTCTTCGTTAGAACGTCATCATGCAGTGGCTTTGTGAGAGTGTGCCCTAGACTAGACCACTGAGCGTTTTGGCTCAAGTCCGGGCTGAAGAGAGGAGAACCCACCGCCCAAAAGCTCAACCTTTCCGAGCGAACGATGGGAGCGATTCGTTTGGTACTTCTGGGCCTTGTGGCGACAGGTGCAGAGGGTGGAGCCTGCAATCCTGTAGATTCCTGTCCAAAGCTGTCGGACGGGCTGTACTGCCCAGTCAACGATGTCACAGAGCATGCGGACATCAACCGGGACGTCGCCTTGATCAAGAGGTACCTGGAGGACACGCCTGATTATGCCATGGCCAAAGAGGTCTACACCATGGGCAACTTCTCCTCGAAGGGCCTGGGGAACATGCGCACGCTCCAGGACCTGGCTCTGAAGGACATGACCGTCGGCGGGAAGTACACCAATGTCTTCTATACCGGTGCTCTCAGCCTCTACAACTCGACGTCTGCCATCTGGCACGACTACATCATGGCGTGCTTGGATAACACGGGTGTCTGCCAGGGACAGAGCGACTCTTTCAGGCGATATGTGATCAACAAGGCCCTCATCGGTGTTGTGACCGCCTATGCTACCTACGAGTTCGGTGCAGCTGTTTGGAAAGGTGAGAACGGTCAGACAGCGGATGGTGAGGCGGCCTACGCCTGGGACGAGGGTGCTGCTTTCTACATCGGCAACATTGACCCCGTGCTGGGTGATGGGTTCAGCGGTGCTGCTCCTGGCAACCTCTACTCACCGTATGAGTTCAACTGGAAGCGCGATTTCGACTACCCTGATGGCACCAACACACATCAGGCTTCCATTCCAATCTTGAACTATGGCCTCATCAACCTCCGTGGCAGCTACAATGCCGCGAACGTAAAAGCCGCGGAGTTGGGCATGTACAAGATCTTCTCCATTGCCGCCATCCGTAGCGCCATCAAGTACGCCGACAAGGCCTACAACGGCGGAACCATGGAGCCCAAATACTTGGCCGAGGGCTGGGCATACTGGCGATCCGCATCTGGGTATATGTCCAACTTCAACGCCACCGCCGTGGAGGCCGTGGATGCACTCTTCGACTTGAAGCAAACATCCATCCCAGCGGATGCCCCCTGCAAGGTGAAGACGCTCGTGGAGTCCCTATACCCTCACCTGGGCATCACCTGCGCGATGGTGGGCAAGTGGAAGGATGCACCCACCGGGGGTTGCCTGGACTCCGTCTGTGACGACACAGGCAACTCAGCCACACTCCTGGGAGGCTCCGACGCCTATGTCGACACCTGGTAGCTGAGTTGTGGCCCTTTTGCCACCTTTTTGGGGTTATGGTTCAAGGTTCCGTTATCAAGGTAACTAAGGATACACCTCTATTGCAATGTGGTTTACTGAGCTGCCAAGGACATGTGCAAGGCCACAACTACCACAACGGGCGGCTCCACGGAGACGAGTCTCGCGGGCCGAGCTGCTGCCTTGCCAGCAGCCGGTGCATTGGCTGCGATGGTAGCTCTGAGCTGCCAGTGAACACAGCTGGCAATTGATAGTCCTTGACCTAGCTGACTGTTCTTTTCAGGTAGTGCACCTATCTCTTGAGCTGTGCTAGAACATGGCGACTGTTGAGCAGGCATAGGCTTTTAAATCCCTATCGTCCGGTGGCTTCGGAACCTTCTTCAAGTAATGGCGGACAAGTTGACACACGAATCTACCCTTTATAGGTTGGGACGTCCGGAGTCTATCTATGCTGTTTTCATCCAGTGCTGACTTCAGCTACGGGCCAATGCTGGCCATCGTCTCTTACAAGGTCCCTGCTGCAGATCCAAGGAGTTGTAAAGGAGCTGTGGCTCGGTGGGGTTGGTCGACTGAACGAGTTTAGGGTTTAGGGTTTCTTAGCAGAGCACGCGCCTTTAGGGGGCTCGTGACCAACCCTCCCAACAGCAGCAGCCCATTGCTCGGCCCAACTGCGCCATTGACTTGTACAGGGCTTCTGCAAGGGCAGTGGTCAATGTCACCACTTGTGTTGGATGTGAGAGACCTTGGAGCCTGGCCCACGGTGAGAGCCCCTATAAACGGCTAGACCCATGTAGGTATGTATATATATGTATATATATATATCTCGTGTATATATATATATACATATATACATACATATTGTGAATCGTATACATATATATATATATATATATACAGCATATATACAGGGCTTATAAGGACTGGGGATTGAGGCTTCAGGCTTCCGGCCTTCGGCTTTTGAGCCTGAGCTTGAGGCCGCGGATGTTTCCGGACCCTCCGGAATAAATAAACCAAAGCGCATCCGGGAACTGGTGGCCGAACCCCTGAACACTTATTTCACGGTGTAGGGTTTAGGGTTTAGGGTTTAGGGTTTAGGGTTTCTACCTGTAGGGCTCAAGCGTTCCAGGCCTTCTAGCCGCTTGCTGATCTTTGGGGGGGGGGGGGTCCCCGACTCTGAAACTTTGCCGTCTCCCCGCTCAAACAGTAGGGCCACAGGACAAACTCTGAGAAGCTCTGCATAGTCGTGGACCTCCATTCCAAAATGTGGGGGAGCAACCTATCATTTTTTAAACCAAAGCCCCAAAGCCTCGAGCCATGCTGCCTTAAACCCTGGGCAATTTTGCCTTCACAATCGCACATGCAACATCCCGAAGCCAAATCCTGAACCCTCAACTGCAGGTTGAAGGAGGCGGGGGGAGCGGGACGCCCCTCGGTGGCGGCATGAGCCCCCCCGGCAAGTAAACCCTAAACCCTAAACCCTAAACCCTAAACCCTAAACCCTAAGCCCTAAGCCCTAAGCCCTAAGCCCTAAACCCTAAACCTTATAAGACCGGTCTGCAGGAGTACGGCATGCTTTTGGAGCTCTACCGCGGTTTGAGACAGGCGCCTCACCCACGAACGGCCGGGGGAGATTTTTGTCAAGCCAAGACATGAAACCGTGTGACGTTTTCAGAGTCAGGGTTTGAGGTTTAGCCTTACTTGGACTCCGAAGCCTCCCAGCCTCCCAGTGACTCAACCCTCGGGGCTTGGGGGGGGCTTTAGGGCTCTGGGCGCTTGGGGCTTTCGGGGTTTTGGGATTTTTTGGCGAAGTAGGGCTTTGTGACTTTATGGCCTTTATCTCTTTATCCCCTTTAGGACTTCAAGGCTTCCAAGGAAGTTTAGGGCGTTAGCCCTAAACCCTAAACCCTAAACCCTAAAACCGCTTTTAGGGGGCTTTGGGGCTTTCTTCCCGCAAGTTGCCCCACCTTTGAGGACCTGAAACGGACCCTTCGCCTGGTTCCGGACTACAATACTGATGAACTCCGAGGCGCCTCTTCCTGGGGTTTATGGTTTAGGGTTAGGGTTTAGGGTTTTGGGTTTAGGGTTTTGGGTTTTGGGTTTTAGGGTTCAGGGTTCAGAGTTTAGGGCGTGCCAAACGGAAGCACGCTCTGTGAGCGCGCGTGCTCGTCTGCAGACCTACCTGCCCCAAGACCGCGGGCTTACAACTCTCATGGAGTTTGGGCTTTCTGTTGTTTACAACGCAACATGTGCTCTTCATGCAAGTTGGTGTAGACGAACTTGATCTGAAACTCATGACTTGTGTCACATGGGTCGCTTGCGGCACTTGGCACACTTGGGTCGCTTGGGGTCAGACTTGGGACACTTGAAGTATTCGAGAGAACTGGGAACACTTGGGTCGCTTGCATCACTTTGGCCACTTGCAACACTCAGGTCGCTTGGGTCACTTAGGATGCCTTGCACACTTTCGTCCCACTGGGAACATGTGAGTTGCTTGGGTCACAGGAACACTTCACTCACCGGTCACTTGGGCACTCGGGTCACCTCAGTGGTGCGGTTCACTTGGGGTACACTCAAGACACACTTGGGACCACCCAAACTCCCAAACCCTTCCCCCCCCCCCCCATAAAAAAAAAAAAAACTTAAAAAACCAACACACATATATATATATATATATATATAAATGGACAGCTCGCTTTTGAATTAACTTTGGGTCTTGGGGCTACTGGAGAACCGGGGTTGTTCGCCTTAACACCTATATAGCCTTGTTAGGCCCTCGATTTCGGCGTTCATGGCGTTAGGGTTTTGATGCTGATGTTTTAAAGATTCTTAAACCCTCTCAACCCTGAACCGCCAACAACCCAAACCCCAACCCATGAACCCTAGACCGCAAGGTGCTTTGCAGAACGTGATGGTGCTGGACACCGAAGAGCGCGTCTTGGTGTCGGGGACTTAGCTGGTGCCCATGCGCTTGAAGGTTCAGGGTTCAGGGTTGTTCAGGATTCGGGATTTAGGGTTTAGGTTCAGGGTTCAGGGTGTTTAGGGTTTAGGGCTTCGGCAGGGATTTGTGGCTACAACTTGGGATATAGGTACCCCAAGTAAGGTTCTGACCAAATGGAGCTCGAGTTACCCCGAATTGACCAATAAGGCTGTAATTGTTTCTGCCTGTGGCCACATAGTTTTCCTACTTAGCCCTCCAGTTCTGACTGAACCCAAAACCCTAACCCGTAAACCCGTAAACCTCTAAACCCCTAAACCCCTAAACCCCAAAACCCTAAACCCCAAACCCCAAACCCTAAACCCTAAACCATGCCCCCCCGAGACCGGCCCCGGTTCTCGAGACGGAGTTCATTGGTCTGGGCGAAGGCTGCATTGAGCACGGCAGGCTTTAGGTTTGTGCAGTTAAGGCCTTGGGGCTGTGGGCTCAAGGTTCAATTTGTTTTTCTCCGACTTGGGGTTATGTAGGGGGTTTAGTTTTGTGGCTTTCAGATTAAAATGGGGTTTGCTGGCTTGGGGACTCCGAGGGGTTTTGAGAGGTAGACCTAAGCTTAGCATTCATTTGTTTTGCCGGTTTCCGGCTTTCGGTGGAGGGTCGGAGACCCTGGGATGCTCGCTAAACGCCTCGACTTCTCCACGGAAATCTCTTGGCCCGAGCATGGAGCTGCGCCTGCACAAAACAGGCTTTTTTGTGCCTGAACCTTGAACCCTAAACCCCAAACACCTATACCCCAAAAACCCTAAACCCCCAAGCACCTGAACCCCAAACACCTCAACCCGAAAAACCCTAAACCCCCAAGCAGCTTAACCCTAAACTTCGTACCCTAAGCTCTAAACCCCAAGCAAGGTTAACCCCAAAAACCCTTAAAGCGCCATCGGATTGGCATGGCTCGAGAGTCTCTGGCACGGCGAGTGCTGGGGGAGAGGAGCATTCGCCTCCGGCCGGGCCAACTTTCACCTGCTGTGGTGTCGCAGGCTCGGTTACTTAGGGCAATTAGGGGTTTATACAGGGTTTGAGGTTCATACAGGGTCTTGGGGTGGGTGTTAAAAAATTTGGGTTGAGGGTTTAGGGTGGATTAATTTCGGGGTTTAGGATTTAGGGCTTAGGGTTTCAAGAGCCCGCAACCAGAATTCGCAAGCCGCTGCAGAGTTCAACACGTCACGCCGGCGTTTGGCGATTTCTCGGGGCAAGGGGTTGCTGTACTGAAATCCTGCTTTCACACCGAAGAACGAACCTTCAGCAGCATGCCCCAAACCCCGACGCCCTCAACTCTCTTCCCCTAAAGCCTAAGCCTCAAAGACTCCCTAAACCCGAAGAAACCCCTGCCCTCAACCCTAAACCCTAAACCCTACACCCCAAACCCAGAACCCCAAACCCCAAACCCTCAACCCTAAACCCCGAAACCCTAAACCCTAGGCCCTCGCGGGCATACGCGGCTCGCCCTACTTTGGCAACTCGGTAGGCCCTTGGGATGTTCTATAATGTCCCTTATTGGGTTTAGGGTTTAGGGTTTAGGGTTTAGGGTTTTAGGGTTTAGGGTTTAGGGTTTAGGGTTTAAGGGCCATCCTAGGCAAGAACCGGGGCTCTCACGACTTCTACCGCCACACCCTGGGCTTCAGCCTCACCTTCCGGAGCTCGCACCGATCCCGCGTCGAGGCGTCCTGCTTTTTCTAGGGTTTAGGGTTTTATGGTTTTAGGGTTTAGGGTTCAGGGTTTAGGGTTTAGGGTTTAAGGTTTAGGGTTTAGGGTTTAGGGTTTATATAGGGTGATGCGTCTGTTCGAGTTGCATGAGAGCCATTACTTCTACTGCTAGTCTTTGGCATGCACTGAAGTGTTTATTATTTCTAGTCGTTCTAGCAGTACTCGGAGGTTCATGGGTACTTACTGCCCCACTTATAACCTACTCAGAGCACTTAGGGGGCTTAGAAGTACAGGGTTGTAGCGGCCCTAAGGCCTAATCCCTAAACCCTAAACCGTGGGCATGGGGTCAACACGTTGAAGGGAAGCCTTCAGTTCCAAGTGCTTGAGCCTGTGAGCAGCGGCGAAACCTTAGCTCGCTCTTGGTTGGGGCTTTAAGGGGTTTAAGGGGTCTAGGGTGTTTTAAGGGGTTGAAAGGGTTTAGGGTTTAGGGTTTTTAGGGGATTCAGGGTTGAAGGTGTTGAGGGGATTTGGGAGGGGTTTCGAGGGGTTTTGAGGGGTTCAGGGTTTAGTTCTTTGATGAGTTTAAAGGGTTCAGGGTCCAGGAAACCAAAAGAACAACCTCAAAAGAGAACCGAACTTAGGGGAACCAGGGAGAAGGTAGGGGCCAAAAGAGGAGTACCAGCCTAAGCTCGGGAACCCCAAACCCCAAGAGACACAACCCCAAAACCCCGAACAAGAGGCACCTAAGGGAAACCCTACTGGGGACAGGCCGAAGCCCTCAACCCCGGTAACCCTGTGACCCTGTTTCATCTTGAGCCATTCGATTTGTGCGTGTCATCCTTGCTGCAGGGGCCATGCCAGCTTTCCAGGCTCCCCCTGAGCTGATGCACAAATGCATCGGATCATCTTTGTGACCTTTGGGTGAGGCACCTGGTCAAAAGCCTCCATTGACCTTCGGGCGAGGCACCTGGTCAAAAGCCTCCATTGAAATCGCCAGTAAAGAATATCGCCATATCCCAGCCAGTCAGCGAATGACGAACTCCGTGACTCCCTTCCAAGTGCGGTCAAGTCGTCGCTTGGCGTCCACCTTGTAACGGAAGATATCTCGGATGACCTGGGTCTCACCATCATTTTGAAAGGTGACATAGGTAACGCGGTCACCAGTCAACTCCTCCAACCCGAAGGGTCTGGCAGCATCGCAGGGGTCAAACAGTTGGATGCGTGGTTGTCGATGGACCCTTACATGCCATCCCCCTCGTGTCGTCCAATAATCCTCGGATCCGGCTGGTTCCACCGAACGTGGTGGTCGGACTGGGGGCGCCTTGCGTGGAGGCGTAGGCGCCGACGAAGAAGCCGTAGGAGCCGATGACATCCCAGTGGATGGAGTCGGCGTCATCCCAGGGGGCGTGCTCGAGGTCATCCCAGTGGATGTGTTCGACCCCAGTGGCCGTGGTTGATTCCATCCCAGTGGATGTTGGAGCTGAAGACGATGGTAGCGAGGACGAGTCTTCCTTGGACCGGGCCTTAATCCTCTGATATCCTGCCAAAAACCATGCTGTTTCCCACAAAAAGAGGATACTGAGCACCATAGCAGTCAGGCCCATCCAAAGCGCCGTCTGCCCGAAGTTCAACATGACGACTGTCGCCATATCATCCATTGTCATCGCTTGCTCCATTGTTGCACCATCCACTGTACTCAACATGGTCAAACAAACCAAAATCTTCATCATATTCGTCGCTTGCAGTCTGCTAGCTTGAGGTCGACAGCTTGTTGGCCCTCCCATGTTGATCAGCTTCCTCAGCTCGTCCACTCTACTCGCAGTAAGGGGTTTTGTGCCCAAATCTGCGGTCATGTAAACACCATCAAGGTGATACATCTGCCAAATATCGCATTGTAATCGCTCCTGGAGTGCTGCAGCCTTGATCTTTAACCCTCGGGTCCGCCAAAGGTTGGAGCTTCCTGTGACTAAGGCAACCGTAGCAGCATTATCGCAGTAGATCACAGCCTGAACAGGAACCTGCAATATTTCTTCCAAAACACATTTGGTTCCCTCACCATAAGCTACCCCTTCCAACACTGCACACAGTTCGCTTTCTGCTGTACTGAGGCTGGTCATAGTTTGCTTGTTGGACGACCAACCAATTAATTGGCCAGCAGCAAAAGCATGTACACATTCTTGGGAACGTCCGGCATCGGGAGCGTGACTGGCATCAGTAAAAACCTCCACCAACGCCTCTTTTCTAGGCACCCTTAACTCCTGATGCTTCCCAAAAGAATCCGGATTGGCCACATAGCGAAGGCCCTCCTTGGTGGCCTTGAGGAACTTGAAGATTTGAGTTGCTGCTTCCACCGCCAAAACAGCATCCCTGGTAATGCATTGAGCCGCCTTGCTGATGGCAAAGATGATATCGGGTCTTGTACGGGTTCCAATCCAATTTAACTCACCAATCAGCTTTTGGGCCAGCTTCACCTGCAGAGGATCCATCTCCTTTTTGTCATGAGGAAGATCATACCTCAACGCAGGAACCTTGGAAGTTCGTAGGCTGCCTTGATGCTCGCTCTCGAATCGTTCCAAGATTTCGTCGATATACGCCTCCTGCCGGAGCAAAAATCCACGGCGATCATCAGATCCTTCCGATATATCGAATCCGCAAAAACGAACAGATCCTTGGGCCACGTACTCCGGTGTAGAGCATGCCCAGAGCTGCGACAGATCGCTGAAGCACGATTGTAGTACCCCATCTTCCATGACTCCCAAAATGTCATCGACATAGATGGAAACCAGGCCGCACAATCTTCCATCCTCGGATAAAATTCTCCACAAATTTTGATCTGTGCGACAAGCCTGCCAGGTGTACCACGCTCCTCCACTCTGAAATCTTCGGCCATTAAGTTGTTGATTTCGAAACACTGCCCAGCTCTTAGGCGAAATGTCCAATCCGTATAATGCACGGGTCACCAACCACTTTTCATACGGAGGGATAATTCCAGCTCGGGACAGGATTTTCGGCGGGTCCAAAATGATGCGTTCTGTTTTGGTTTTGGTCCGCTGAAGTAGCGGGGCATTCAGGAAGGCCCCCTTGATGTCCGTCGTTCCAGCCTTCCAGCCACGACGAGCCCCCACAGCAAGCATGGTACGTAGCACAGTAATGTCAATACCAGCCGCATATACCTCCTCCCGGAGCTCCTGCTTTGTTTTGCTGCTTTCCTCGGCCTGGAGAAAGTTCCCACAAGCGCATGCCCTCGCTTTGCGTTGTCCACTGACCGCCTTTCTTGTGAACACCATTTTTGCCGGAATCCTCTTCACGATCAGGCTGTCGTCCTCCTCCATGACCCGGATTTGCTGCTCGGTGATTGGCTCTATTGCAGCCTTCTCATGGCGAATCGTGTTATACTCGGCACTCATCGCTGGTGTCCACGCTGGCAGCTCCTGCAGTACCTGGGCTTGCTGAATTGTCTTCGTTTGCAAGAACACCTCCGGAAAAACATCAGTAGGAGCGCCCGTACCTCCAACATTTGTTTCCACAGACATGCTCTTCAACAGTCGAAGATCATCTTCCACCTGGTCTGCTTGCTCGTGTATGGCCCGTACCTGCGTGACTTGATCCTTCAAGGTCCAAGTGTCCGGCTCCTCGTCCAAGCTGGATTGATCCCAAAGGTCTTGTTGCAGCTTTTGTTGTTCATGTAGCCCTAATCTTTTCAATCCCAGCTGCATGCCATCCAGCAGGTCGCTCTGCTCATCAGCTTCAAAACCAATGGGTATCTCAGAGGCCACAACATGTCCCACCACGCCAGTCGCTGCTCCCCCGGTTCCAAGGCTGTTTTTGCTTTGATACAACATTCCCGCCTCCTCCGGAACCAAAAAACTTTCTGCAGCATCCAGCATTTTCAGGGCATCGCTGTGTTCTAGACGAAGTTGATAGCGAGGCCGAACATTTCTATAGTCCTCGTACCGGATTTCCGGCGTTCTCGAACGGCCTCGTCCACCTCCACCTGGGCCATCTGGACCATCTCCCGGTGGATCATCATCTTCATCGTCTCCTTGATCCACGTCCTCATCATCGTCTGGAGGCTCCTCCTCGTTTTCTTCTGCCTGCTGAGGTTCTTGCAGCTCGTAGAGGACCTCGGACCGAATGACGATGTCGAGGGGTTGCCAGTGAGGTGCCTCCTCGTAGCCCACTGTATGATTTACCATCATGGCAAACTGATGAATTTCCAGCTGATTTTCATCGTCGTACATGTAGCGGTAGTTGATAATCGTCGCCATGGTGAGATCCGGCCGATCATCTGTTAGCGCCCGCCTCCTTGATTCTGGATCATCCTCATCAACCAAATGCCTCTGAATTACAGGATCGATCTGCATTCCCTCCTCAGGCGGATTGACCCGGTCCAATCGAATACTTGGGTCCCTCAGGACTTGATTGGGGTCGATTTCCGGATCTGGTAGCAAACCTGCCCACCTGAAGCGATACTCGTAGGCTGCTGAGGCCGCCTGATCGACAGTTTCCGTCGTAGGTAGGATGCCATCCGGTGGGAGCACTGGGGACCACTCACCTTCCCAGTCGTCCACAAAGCGCTGCAAGGGATGTTGATCCAGGTCGTGAGCATTGGCCTGCTCATGGGTCCATCTCTCCTGAAACAACCGATCCGCAGTTGCGGCATCCAACACAGTGTATTGAATTTGTGTATGCTCCACTTGCCTTGCAGGCCCATCGGCTTCTCCTTCCTCTCGCTGTCGCAGGCGAAGTTTGGCGACGCTTGGCCTAGGGGCAGTCGTAGCGCTGGTGTTCGAGGGCGAGGCTGAACTCAAACTCGATCTCGAATCTTGCTTATACCCCCCCCCAATGCCTGCTATAGCAGGCAATGGGAAACCTGCAGAATACAGGCTGGCCCTTTTGCCAGGCTCCAACCTGGCGTGCGCGGCCAAGGAAAAAGCCACCGCCAGCACGCGTGGGCCCTTTTCTTCACCGTCCTCCGAAGCATGCCACTTGCGTGGATCCAATCTCATCGAATCCCCGCAACGAAGGCGATGAATCTGGCCCGGCTTCCAGAGGCCTGGGCGAACCTCCTTCCAGACCAACTCTTCCGAGCCCAGGCCAGTGAAGGGTGGTTCCACTTCAGTCCAGATAGAAATGGAGGGTGAAAGGCATACCAGCAGATTACTCGTCCCCCGTTGATTGAAGATATCACGATGCGGCCCCAGCCAATTGTTCACCGAAAGGGTAGACGAGGTCCAGGTGTCATTTGGGAAAGCAGCTGCGAGGATGGCATTCAGGACCTGAGTTCGCAGCCGATCAGGTTGTTGGGTTGTGGTATTTGTGATCCCAATGACTCCCCCTCGCCTGTAAACCCCATTGGTGATATAGAGGCCTTCAGAGGTTTGGCGGTCGCTGCGTAACTTTGTCCCGCTAGGAGTCCGCCTTTTTCCAAGCTTGTACCAGACTGTGTCCAGTTTGCTCCCTGTCATGCCCTGGACAGGACAGTGCTGCTGGTGCTACCGACAATGAGGCCAAGCCCTGTTTGCCGCGAGCTCGCTGTCGAGGAGGCACAGCGTCCACTTCCACCTCATCCATGGCCGAAATTGCACCAGTATCCGCCATTTGCACATTTTGAAACAGCGTGGTTGTCGTGAAGAAATCGTTTCCACTTTCACCACATAGCCCCTGGAAACATGTTGCGCCGGGGCAATCACCACGCCTTTGTGGACACGATCATCCCATTGTTCAGCCTTATGCCAGTGTCTTTTGCGGATCCAAACCACTGTACCAAACGGAACCAAAGGCTTGACAGGCATGCCCAGTCGGGCCAAGGCCCTGCGAAGGCGTCGCTCAGCCACCCATCGCCAGGCACCCGGCCAAAGTCGCTTGGCCGACGTTTCACCATGCAGCAACGTCCTGGTGGCCCTCTTGCAAATACCAACTGCAGCTTCTGCCCGGCCATTTTGCTTGTAGGATCCGCCCTGCCCACAGGTTTGATAAATCCCTCTATCCTGAAGCCAACGACAGACGGGGGCATTGAGGAACTCGCCTCCTTTGTCTGTATGAAACCTGGCCACATGCATTCCCCGCATTTTCAGCTTGCTGTAAACGCGACCTATGGCTCCAACCACAGATGCTGGGGTCTTGTCTCGTAGGCTCTCAGCGAAAGTGAGCTCCACCATCTGTAGCTTGTCCAACTTCAAGTCTTGAGGAGCCACCGAGTCCGCTTGTTTGCGAGCCTTGACCAGATATTGTTTCCAGGCTTCAGCTTGTTCCTGCACGAGGCGCTTCTGAAAGTCCGTGAGGTTCTCCTTGGGCAATTCCTCCTCCAGGACCTCCTCGTTGCACTCCCATTCACCGGGATCCACCTCATCATTCCAGTCCTCCTCGCAGTCCAGCCCATAATCCCTTAGGACGACGGCTTCCTCATCCTTTGCCTGAGGTAGTAGTGGTTCATCCAGTTGGGAACACCGCTCATCATCCAAATCCGGCTCATAATCCGGTGTGTCCTCGCCCAACAGCGATGTGGTGTCAACACCCACCAACCCGTCATCGTCCAGCAAGGATGCGGCCTCATTGACTGCCTCTGAAGATCTGGGCTTTTCAGCTTGACCACCTCCTTCAGGAATTTCCACCATTGGTTCCGGCTCCAAATTTGCAAAGACCGGAATGGTGTAAACCATCGTGCACATGTACTTCACCCGACCATACTCATCCAAGCCCACCGTGTAGGGACCACTCAGATCGGCGCTAATCGTGAACTGCCCACTTCAAACCATCAGGCCACTCATACCCTTTGGTCATTTCTTGAGGATCCATTCCTTCCTCCCCCGAACCACAGTCTTTGCAGTTCACCATTGAAACCTCATCGAAGTACAACTTGTGCGATACCAGCAGTCCTTGCTGTTTCGTGGTCCGGTGACCCAAATCGCCAAAGTCGACTTCCAGTTTTTCCAACTTGTACTTCGCTTGACAATGTTGTACTTCTGGCCAATTCCAGATTTCCGGTTTCGAAGCTTCGGTGTTTTCTCCATTGTTTGGCGCCTTGTGTTCCAACACCAGACCCACCGCCTGGCTGTTGTTGTGAAGCCTCCTTGCTTCCTCTGCGACCATATACAGCACCAACTGCCTCAGGATCAGGACATTCTCCTTTTCCACAGCCCGCAGGTCGCGAGGACCGAGCTCAGATCTGCCAAGTCGGTCTTGAGGATCATTCCCCCTCCATTGCTTGGGTGCCTCAAACGTCTTGTCTGGAGGTCCGCCCATCACCATTTTGACATGGCCACTTCGGGCCAACTCCAACAAAAACCCATACATTTGGTCGCACAGTAGGTTTTCAGGCAGGTCCACGTCGATAACGTAACACCCATCCATACCCTTGCCATCCAGATAGTGCTGAAAGAAGCCCCGGGTTTTGCCAGCAAACAGGTTCAGTACGATGAACTTCGAAGCCATCATGGCCTTCCTTGTCCTCCGGCTCCAAGGCAAGCAGTCATTTCCTTTGGCATAGGCGGGAACGGTTAGGGCATTGATGACCCCCTCTGGCAGATGCAAAAACTGATCTTGCAACCAGCGCTTCATGGCTACGGGATCCTCAAACACCATAGTCCCTTCTTGCTCCAGGCCACCTCCATCTTCCTTCTGGATTCGCAGCTCCTTCACGAAGGCCATCTTGTCCCGCTTCTTCTGCTCAATATCTTCAATGAGCTTTAAGGCCAGTGCTTCTGGAACTTCTGGGCATCCTGTAGCCAATCGTACTGGAAGCTGGCCAAACTTCGGGACCTTGATGCAGATACCACCTTGATCCCAAGTCACTCCTGTACCCAGCTGGATCAGCTCGTGCATGGCCACAATGGGACTCGTGGAGGGGTCGTTGGTCAACAGCGTGCCAGCATCGTTAATCCGGAGCTGTGTCGAGCCGGTAGCCAGGGCCACTGTAATCGGGGCAGCACGTTGGAACTCCCGATTGGACTTTGCCTTTGTGAGGCAGGCCGTAGCTCCACCATCCAGCAATCCCCAGCCATCCGTTTCACCTCGCAACGCCGCCAATCTCATCGTCTTGATGAGCTCGGATGCCTCCTGAAGAAAAACTGCCTGTGCCGTCGAGGACGAAGCGGAAGTCGTAGAGGACGCTGGTTCGTCCGGCTCCACCTTCTTCACGATGGGCTTGGGCTTTCCCTTGTGCTTGCCTCTGCCCTTTGCTTCCGTGGCCTTGTCATTGGTCTCTTTAGCAGCGGCTGTGTCTGCAGAGGTGGTAGGATAAGGGCAGTTGGCCTTCTGGTGGTCTTCTGCAGAACAGTTGTAACACCTCCCCACCATCCTGGCCTTGTCGTGCGGAAAGGAGCAGGCATTGCCCTTTCGACACCCCTTAGGTGTCATCCAGTTCCAGCATTGCCCATGTTCCCGCTGTCCCTTGTCTTTGCCCTTGCCCTTTCCTTTCGCTTCTGTTTCCATGGCCGCCACCTTAGGTCTTCGTCCTCCAAGTTCGGAGCCAGTAACCATTTCCAGTTCCGCCAACAACATCTGCGCTAAGGACTTGGCAGAGGACAAGGTAGGGGCATAGTCAATCTTGTTTTCCAACCGAAAAGTTGACAGCCGGAATAAGCTTTGCCCCGCGATCACCGCAGCTGTAATCTGGTCCAGTGCTTTAACCAGCAGTGTTGGGTCTGGGAGTGCCAGTTTCAGCTCCTGAGCTCTGGTAAGGGCTCGGGACCACTTTCTGATTCCAGCGATGCCGTCCGTCGCCGTGTTCACCGCAGCTGGAGCAGTTAACGTTCGTAGCAAAGCCTGCTTCTCCCCTGCTCCTCCCGGTTGATACTTGGTCAGCAACCGAAACAGCATAGGAATGGTTTGCACCGCTCGGATGGTTACCATTTCCTCCTTAACATCTGCAGGTAACGCCGCCAGCATGAGCACCGCACCTCGTTGTTCAGTTCGTGACCACCTGGAGTGCTCAAACAGTGCCGTCAGCCCCATCACCTTGTCTCGGAGCTCCAACCTCTTCAGCGGCGAGGCGGCCAGCCAGTCATCGTAATAGTTATAGGCCGTGCCTGTAACCTGGTCCCACCACTCTGCCGCCGTGGCTGAAATTCCCGCCATCATCGGTTTGACCACCGTCAGCCAGTCTCCAAGAATCATTCCAGCATCCTCGGTGTTGCCCTTGGAGATCTCCAGCTTAGGCAGATCCTGAATACTTCTGGCGGTCTCCTCCGAAGGCATCAAGGCCGCTGAATCCTCAGATATTAAGGCCCTTGGTCTCGTCCTCATCTCCGGAGGTAGTGGTGGGGGTGGCGGTACCACCTCCCAAACTGCCGGTCCCATGGCCTGCCACGATGTATCCACGCCAGCTGTTACCCCAGGAACTTTGGGTGTAGCCATTGAAGGCCCCGAAGGAACACGTGTGCCACCAGGTGTATGATGGCTACTGGGGAGTGGCGGTGGTGGAGGAGGCGTTGCTTCCGCTGAAGGAGCAGTCTCTCCAGCCCTCGCAGCTTCTCTGGCCAGAACCTGTTGCAACTGCATCTGTAGCTGTTGTACTTGAACTCGCAACGCTACCAACTCACGATCCCTTTCATCCAAAGAAACATTGGCCACACTTGCAGGCTGTCCCAAACCAGGAGGCGTGGCAATCGTGTACTGCTCCGGTCCTTCTGTCACCACGACCGGTGTACGAGTTCCAGTCTCCTGTTCACCCAGCTCCTGCGAAGGATGAGACCTAGCCGACCGCATCGAATCGGACGACCTAGGTTGGAGATCCCCCAAAGCAGCCTGGGCCTGGGAACCCGCAGAGTCCTGTCTTTCCAGATTTAAACCAGCAAACATTCTTGCCAAAGCCGCTTGATCCACTGCTCCCAATGCCGACGACTGAGAAGATTGTCTATCCTGCTCCAACACATCCAACCTCGAAGTTAAAGGTTGCAGCAAATCTCCCAGCATCTGTCTCATCGGGCCCATCCAATCTGTTTGTGCAGGGGCTGGTTCAGCTCGATGTAGCGGCTGTCCCAAGGCTCGGATCTGCTCGTAGGTGTTAAACGCCAGTCCAGGATTGTTGCCTTGCACTGCAGCATTATTTGGAGTCCATTGTGTCATCTGCCCAGTCAAGTATTGCTCGCCTGTTCCACTGTCAAAATGACCTCCAGGAAACGGCACGCTGGTAAAACCAATATGGGCTGATGGACCAGGGCCACTGACCGATTGTGCCACCGCTGTACCAGGAACTGTTGATGGCCCGGCACTTTGCTGAAACTGAAAAACCTCTGTGCTTGCTCTTGTAGCTGCCCCGATACCCTCTTGCCCCTGCAGTACACTTCCACTAGCTGATGGACCAGGACCACTGACCGATTGTGCAACCGCTGTATCAGGAACTGTTGAGGGCCCATCACCTAAACCTGTGGAAATCACTGCACCAGCTGTTGTACCAGGAGCAACTGTCGTAGGGGTATCACCATTCCCATCCACCTGAGACGATGATATTGTAGGCCCAGAAACTGTACCAGACCCACCATTGTTTTGCCCGGTAGTCGCAGGATTTGCAACATTGCTTGCACCGCTGCCACCACCAGATAAACCATTGTTGCCCTCCTCAGCACCAAGTCCCCCACCTCCCGCAGCAAGCGTGGATCCCAGTGCCTGAGCAAAAAGCTCGTCAACCGCATCTCCTCCATGCTCCTCCATCGGAGCCTCATCTGTACCAGAGGAAGCTTCCAGCAAGAGCGAAGACGCAGGATCCATGGATCTTTCCTAAAGCCCTGAAAACACTAACCACACAGAACCACGACACTTGGGCTCATAACCCCAGGAAACCAAAAGAACAACCTCAAAAGAGAACCGAACTTAGGGGAACCAGGGAGAAGGTAGGGGCCAAAAGAGGAGTACCAGCCTAAGCTCGGGAACCCCAAACCCCAAGAGACACAACCCCAAAACCCCGAACAAGAGGCACCTAAGGGAAACCCTACTGGGGACAGGCCGAAGCCCTCAACCCCGGTAACCCTGTGACCCTGTTTCATCTTGAGCCATTCGATTTGTGCGTGTCATCCTTGCTGCAGGGGCCATGCCAGCTTTCCAGGCAGGGTTAGGGTTGTAAGGTTTAGGGAGTGAGGCCTTAGGTTCATGAATAGTGAGGAGTAGGTCCACTGTTGTTGCTCCATGGCCCCAGCTATTCCTCCATGTATATCGCCCGGGATAGCCCCTCAAGGGATCATACTGGAACCAGTCTGTGATTTGGAAGTAAGTGCTCTTCAGAAGGCTATCCTCAGGCCTCCACTTTAGGGTGAAGCTTTCAGGCTTCAGGGCTTGCTACGGGTTTGTGAGATTAGGGCTTAGGGTGGGTTCACTTCCCTAAGCCCTAAACCCTAAACCCTAAAACCCCAGTTGCGGCCAACCAGCGGCCCATTTTGTGGAGGCCCCTCCTCTGCATGTCGGAGCGTGAGTCGCCAGACTGGCAGGGCTGAGCCCTGATGAAGCTTAACACACCCGAAGCCCTAAACCTGAACCCCTGAACGCTAACCATGATCCTATATCCCTGAACCCTAAACCCTAAACCCTAAACCCTAAAACCCTAAAACCCTAAAACCCTAAAGCCCTAAGCCCTAAACCCTAAACCCTAAACCCTAATCCCTACCTCAAGAGCCGAGTCGTGCCCTGGTTCGAGGCCCACCTTCCCTTCGTGCAGCCGCTGTTGGATGCCATGGTGCGACCGGAATGTACCTTGTGGATCATGCCTGGGAAGGTTAGGGTTTAGGGTTTAGGGTTTAGGGTTTAGGGTTTAGGGTTTAGGGTTTAGGGTTTAGGGTTTGGGGTTTGGGGTTTGGGGTTTGGGGTTTAGGGTTAGGGTTTAGGGGGGGGGGGGGGGGGGGGGGGGGGGGGGGGAAGCTGGGTGGTCACGAAACGAGAAGCCCACCCGAGGAACAAACAGCGGGCAGCTAGCATCGCTCCTTGCTTGCTTGAGAAAAACCGGCCTTCCGAAAGTCAAGCTTCCCTTGTACACGGTCGGCCTTGGGATATTTTACGTTTTCCCTTATTGGGTTTAAGAGGGCCACATTTAGGAATATCTTTTTGCAGGGGTTTAAGGGCCATCTTAGTGCGCTGTCCGGCGGTTTTGATTTCTCTGGACATGATCGCCTTGAGTTGGATCCTCTGCTCAGCCAAGCTTTATGAAATGCTGTAGGTTCCATACTTCGTTTTTTTGGTGAGTGTATCCTAAACCCTAAACCCTAAACCCTAAACCCTAAACCCTAAACCCTAAACCGTTAGGGAGATGGGTGAGTGTATAGACGGGCAGTCCCTCCGCGGATGCTTCCATTAACATCCCTACTTCATCATACCCCCCCCCCCCCTTCCCTTAAATGGGTTTTCCAAAAATAGGGGCCCCAAAAATGGTATAAATATTTCTTGGAAACCCCCAAAAGGGCACCCCCCATTTTCGGAAACCCCCCCACCCAAAAAAGTTCAAGGCACAATCCTTAAAGGGTTTATGCGTTCTCCCGAGCCCTAAACCCTCAACTTCAAGTCCTCTTCCAGCTCCAAGTCCATGCAGGCAACTGTTTCTTTCTGACGTTCCTGGGCGCGCGCCCGGATGGCCAGCGCTACCACACCGAAGCCTGGTTTCCTGCCGGGGGGGGGAATGGGGGGGGAGGGGGGGCAGGGCCCCCCTAAACTCCCAAACCTTCACAACCGCCCGCCGCACGTCTCAAGCCCACCCAACAAACCCTGAACCCTAAAAGTGAGAGAGAGAGAGAGGGACCTTCATGTACTATGTTGCCGCTGTTTTTTAAAAATATGTATATATACATACATACAGAAACAATTTGGAAACAAAAAAACATCATTGAAGGAGAAACACATTGTTTAAGTTGCGGGACTTCCGAAATAATTCAGATTCTTTAAGGCGCCTGGGCGGCCTGCTCCAGAACTCGTTTTGCCGACAGAAGGCCTCACTTAGAGGGTCCCGGTACACACACAAACACACACTTGCAAAATTGCCATATCCACGTTAGAATGTGCATAATATAAATATAAATAAATAAATAAATAAATAAATATATATATATATATATATATTTGTTTATTTATTTATTTACTTATTTATCGATAAATGCATTTATTCTGATAGATATGTTCTGTACTGGTTTACTTGTTTTTGTTGTTGCTCAGTGTTTTGTTCTACCGCTGCGCAGGTAGGGTTTCAGCTTATGGTGAGCTTTAAGTCTTAGGCTAATCCCTGAACCTTGTAAACCCTTTAAACCCTTGACCGCCCTCAACCCTATAAGCCCTAAACCCTATACACCCTAAAAACCCGAAGTACCCCAAATCCTGGGACAACTACTACCCTGTACACCCCAAACCCTGTACACCCTAAAAACCCGAAGTACCCCAACATCCTAGGACAGACCCTAAACCCTAAACCCTAAACCCCAAACCCTAAACCCTAAACCGCTAAACCCTAAACCCTAAACCCTAACCGCTAAACCCTAAACCCTAAACCCTAAACCCCAAACCCTAAACCCTAAACCCTCAACCCTAAACCCTAAACCCTAAACCCTAAACCCAGGACAACTACTTTGAGAATTTCTGCGGCGGCTCGCGGGCCAGCGACTTGGTCACCGTGGCCTACTTGGAAGCCGACGAGGCGCGACCGGAGGGATTGTGGTTTAGGAGCTAAACCTTTGGCGTTTAGGGTTTAGGGTTTAGGGTTTAGGGTTCCCCCTTTAAGCTAAAGGTTTGATGATACCCTTTATGATAATCGCTATTAAGGACGGTTGGAACATCCCAGCCTAAACCCCCAACGGGGGGGGGGGGGGGGTTTAGGGTTTTGGGTTTATGGTTTAGGGTTTAGGGTTTAGGGTTTAGGGTTTAGGGTTTAGGGTTTAGGGTTTAGGGTTTAGGGTTTAGGGTTTAGGGTTTAGGGTTTAGGGGGGGGGAGGGTTGTGGCTGTCTGGGGGCTGTGGGCTTTCTTTGTTCCTTCTTCTTGGGAGCCCTAAACCCTAAACCCTAAGGGCTTTAGGAGAACATGGAGCCGTGGTTTTATTTTGTTTTCGGCGTCGAGACCTTGCCTTGCTCCGCCCTCAGAGGTAGGCGTGGGCGTGTATAGCTCGGTAGGCCTTTGGGAATATTTTCTATTTTCCCTTATTGGGTTTAAAGTGGGCCATATTTAAGGATATGCCATATTTAAGGATATCTTTCGGAGAGGTTTAAGGGCCATCCTAGCGTAACGTCCAACGGTTGAAGACATGATCGCTTCAAGGATCATATTTAGATTTTTTTTTCAGAGGGGTTGGTTTCGGCATTCAATCTGCGATCCGTCACAGCCTGCCAGGCCATGGTCGGGGGCGAGCTGGTCGTGCTGAAGGTCGGTGGGTTTAGGGTTTAGGGTGTAGGGTCGAAGGGTCGACGGGTCGAAGGGTCGAAGGGTCGAAGGGTCGAAGGGTCGAAGGGTCGAAGGGTCGAAGGGTTTAGGGGTTGGGGTCGAAGGGTGGGAAAATGGTGCAGGGGCCCCAACCACACCCTTGAAAAGCACCTAACCCCGAAACCGCTACAGGGTTTCGGGGTTGAGGGACACTTCAATGCCCCTGAACCTTCAGAGAGAGAGAGACCTTGAAGGTGTCGGCCAGCGAGGTCGGGCCCATCCGGCACGGATGTGAAGCGCCCGAGCAGGCAGGGGGAGTGCAGGTGTTGGAGGTTTCGGGTTTTGGGGGGGGTTTGGGGCCAAGTCAGGGGGTTCAGGTGCTGTTTGTGTGTTTTTGGGCAGGGATTTCGGGGGGTTTGGGGCCCAAGTTTTGGGGGGGGTTGAGGTGTTTTTTTGGTGTTTTAGGGTTCAGAGAATGCGGAGGCGCAGGGTTTCTGCTCTTAAGCCCAAAGCAAAACATCAGCCTTGCCTGAGATCCCAAACCCCTCGGTCTGTGTCAGCTTACACTTGGGTCATGAACAACCTTCTTGGAAGCGCCTGCTCATCAGCAGGGGGGGGAGGAGGGGGTCTCCCGCAAATGGGAGTTTGCGAAAATAACGGCCCCCAATAAAGTACCCCTAAACTCGGAAACCCCCAACTTCAGCTGAAGTTGGGGCCTTGCTCAATAGAACTATGAGGGATCCATCTGCTTCATCGGTGTCTATCAGGCGGAAGCTGCCCATCACATCTTGAATAGACTGCTGAGATTCCATTTAGAATGCGAAGTAGTGCAGAATAAAGACTGCAGCCCTATGTAGGCAGGCCTTGGGATACCACACATTTCTCGTGTTCAGCGGGTTTTACCTACGAGTATTCTTCAGAGATTTCACGAACTGGCCAAACTAGTTTACAGCCCCTGAACCATACATACCCAAAACTCCAAACCCCCAAACCCTAAAACCCCAAACCCAAAAAAAAGCCCAAATCCTAAACCCCAAACCCTAGGCCGCGGTAGATGAACAGCCCTGCGCAGGTGCTACAAGTGGTCCGGCCCAGGCAGACGTCTTTCCCTAGCCCGAAGCCGCGAGCGCTAAGCCCCCACCCTGGGTTTGGGGTTTGGGGCTTGGGGTTTGGGGCTTGGGGTTTGGGGTTTGGAGTTTGGGGTTTGGGGTTTAGGGTGTCTAGGACAATTTGGGGTGGGCGGCTTTCCTAAGAGCCGTTTACGTGGCTTGCGACAACCCCCATATTGCTCAAAAGAGGCTCATATACACAGCAGCCATCCACCTAAAACTGTCCCTCATTTTTTTTTTCCGGGGGTTTCAGGGTTTAGGGTTTCGGTTAAGGGGATTGGGGGCCCGAAATCCCTGAACCCTTGCAAGCCCTAAACCCTAAACCCTAAAAAATCTACACCCTAAACCCTGAACCTGTAACCCCTAAGCCTAAACCCGAAACTGCACGCTGCTCTGCCCAGCCCCGGCATGGTGGTGGACTTCGATGGCCAGCTGCTTCACGGCGTCCGGGCTTTCCAGGGCCCTACACAACGAGCGCCTGGAGCTTCCACCGGGGGTTGGGGTTTAGGGTTTAGGGTTCAGGGTTCAGGGTTTAGGGCAGTTCCACTGGTGGCGGGAGGGGGAGGGATCTTTAAAGCAACCTTGCATTAACCCGAGAATCCCGGACCTTAAGTGGGTCCAGGCGCTTATAGGAGGGGGGGGGGGGGCAAACCCTAAACCCCAAACCCTAAACCCTATACCCTATAAACCCTAAACCCTAAATCGGTACGCCAAGGTGAGTGCCGTTTTGGAGCAGTGCCGCCTCCAGCACCAGATCGCACCTTGGGCCCAAGCCTACCCTAAAAGCCTTTAGGTTCAGGCGTTTTGGGGTTTAGGGCTGAGGGTTCTGGTTTTTAGGGTTTAGGGTTTAGGTTTTAGGGTTTAGGGTTTAGGGTTTAGGGGGTTTGGGGATTGAAGCTACAATCGCAGGTTTAGGGTTTAGGGTCTTAACCATCTGGGACCCAGAGTGGGCCCTTGAACTCCCTGTTTTGGGAGTTCGAATCTCCGTATCAAACCCTAAACCCTAAACCCTAAACCCTTGAAGCAGAAAAGGGGAAGCCTTTGATTCCCAGGTTCGCTCTGGGATTTAGATAAAAAGGCACCGTGTCCTTCACTTTATGCTTTCCCGGGACCTACTGTATCGTTGAAGACGGGAAGTATAGGGTAACTAAACCCTAATCCTAAACCCTGAACAAACCCTAAACCCTAAACCCTCAACCCTCAACCCTAAACCCTAGCTTCTGCAGAAGAAGCAGAGGCCAGGAAGACTCCACGCTTTAGCGTTTTCTGCCAGAGAAGCAACGAGGAGTTGATCCTGGCGTAGCTCCGGCCCCTCGAAAACAGGTTTAGGGGTTAGGGTTTAGGGTTTGGGGCTTGGCAACTTTTGTTTGGCTTTCGGTTTTGCTTCGGCAAAGGTGCACTGCGTGCAGGGTTTAGGGTTTAGGGGCATGTGCGCAACCCTAAACCCCAAACCCTAAAACTCCGTTTGGGACTGACGTGTTCGGCTTGTACGGCACATGCAAGGCTGCATCAGGGTGCCGCAAAGAATCCCTCGGCTGGCAGGAACAACCCCATGAGGACCCAATGAACCCTATAAGAGGGCTTTCGGTCCATATACCCTGACAGGGTAGTAGAATAGCGTATACTTATGTGTAGGTATATACATACATGTACATATATGTCATATATATATATATATGTTTTTTAACTTGTTTATCCTCATTTTTCGTTCACTTCGTTCCCTGAAGGACTGGGAGCAACCGCGCGGACCCTGCGCCGCCGCCTTCACCGCCCTCACCACGGCAAGAGGCCCTCAGAACCAGCGCCATGCCATACAGGCCGTGCCTGCAAGGCGGAGATGCTCGAGGCGGCCGAAAAGGGGGCGGCATTCGTGGACAAAAAGAGGCCGTCGTCATGTTGCCTTGATTGGCCGTCGCAATTGCTTGCCCATGAAGCGAGCTTTGTACTTACTTAGGCACTGGCTGTGTCTTTCACGTTCTTGTTGCCCCGTCTTGATGTGTGCCGATGTCTCTTCGTGCAACTCTACTTTGAAGGTTGGTGGGTTTGCCTAGAAGTAGTGCAGACACTAAGCTCTGAACCCTCAAACCCCAATGTTTCAGCCATGTTGTTGTGGCGTCAGCACTGGGTTCTCAGCCTCGGCTTGTGACCTGATGAGAATGAGTCCTTTAAGTTAAGCAACTCCCTAAATCCTAAGCACATTGTGCCAAACTCAATCCAAACTCACCCTCAGGCCTACTTAAACCCTGAACCTCCCAACCCTCGCGGCCCCTTGAAATGAATTCTAACCGGGGGCTTATGTTGCCAATGTACCTCAGGAGGATTTTTCCGCACCGCAGCACAGGGTGTAGGATCCCACTTCAGGGTTAGTGTGAGAAAACCCCAAGGGTTAAAGAGAAGAATCTGGGCCAGTCCCCACCCTAAGCCCTGTAACCCCTATAAACCGGAAACCTAACGCCTCGACCGTTTAAGCCCTGAACCCTAAACCCTAAACCCTAAACCCTAGAAGGCTAAAGATACGAAGCCAGGCCAGACTGTCCCGCCCTACCTCCGCTTCGTGGGCTCCATCTCCGTAAAGTCCGATGCCCAAAGGCGTTTAAGGTTTGGGGTTTAGGGTTTGGGGTCTTAGGGTTTAGGGTTTGGGGTTTTGGGGCTTAGGGTAAACCCTAGAGCCAACCAAGCCCTTTCGCCCGTAGAGCCCCCACATTGCCTAAGCCCTAAACACCTACATGCTGGCGACAACACCCAAGCACACCCTAAAGCCTAAACCCCTAAGCCTCTAGAGCCGACACCCCCCCAAAGCCCCGAATAAAGCCCCAAGAGCCTGGTCAGAACCCCAAGGCTCCCCCCCTAAACCATAGGCCTAAAGCACCGAGATCCTTAAAGCCCCTACAGCCCCGAAAGCCGCAAACCCCTAAGGCCCCTGAGGCCGTGAACCTTAATCGGGTTTAAGGATCGGGGTTTAGGATGTCCTGTGCGTAAACCCTAAACCCTAAACCACTGAAGCATGTTTTTTTTGTTCGCAGGTTCTTGGGGTTAGGGTTGAGGGTTTAGGGTTTAGTGTTTCGGGTCTAGGGTTCAGGGTTTTACTCCTTCTTCCCCAAGCGCTTGCCCCCAAACCCTGAAGCACAAAGCCCCCTAAGCCCGAACCCCGAAAACCCCTAAACCCCAAACCCGTCAAGCACGAGGCCCAAATCGTTGATCCGAAACGCTTCGGGTTGCAACCTCTTCCGAAATCTACCTAAACCCTAAACCCTAAACCCTAAACCCTAAACCCTGAACCCTAAACCACTCAGGTGTTCTCAGGTGGGCAGTAGGGTTGAGGGTTCTGGGTTGGGATGTTCCCCCGTTTATACTAGGGGGCGCACGATAATCCCTACTATTTAAGGATTGTGATTATCAGGGGTAACATCCCAAGTTCTGGGGTTGTAGGGTTAAAAAGGTGTTTGTTGAGGTTAAGGGCTTTTAGACTTTCAGGGGGGTTGTCAGGGTTAAGGGGTTTTAGGTTTTAAGGGTTTTTTAGGGTAAAAGGACTTTTAGACCATCAGGGTTTTTAGGGTTTAGGGGTTGAGGGTTTAGGGGTTGAGGGTTTAGGGGTCGGGGCTTAGGGGTTAGGAACCTTTCCCGCCCCAGGTTGAGGCCTACGCCTTCTAAGTGCCTTTGCATGTTCCTTCCGAAACCCTAAACCCTAAACCCTGAGCCCTAAAGCCCTAAACCCCTGAAACCCTGAACCCCTAAAACCCTAAAACCCCAAAACCACTAAAACCCCAAAATCCTAAACTCCTAACAACCCCCTAAAGCCCTGAAGCCCTAAGACCCTAAAACCCTGAAGCCCTAAAGCCCTAAAACCCGAAAGCTCGGGATGCCCCCCCTTATGCTAACAGTCCTCAATAGAGTTTAGGGTTTAGGGTTTAGGGTTTAGGGTTTAGGGTTTAATCTAATCCCTCTTAAGGACTGTTAGTCGAAGCGGGAGCATCCCAACCGAAAGCACTAAATCCTAAACCCCAAGCCCTATAAACCCTAAACCCTAAACACTAAACCCTAACCCCCAACCCCTAAACCCTAAACCCTAACCCCCCCCCCCCCCCCCGCCCCCTTTTTTTGCCCAAAAGCCCCTGAAATACCCTCAAGCCCGAAAAGAAGCCTGGCTTCGGAGAGCCAGCCCCAGCCCCTAAACCCTAAACCCTAAACCCTAAACCCTAAGCCCCATCGTGCGCACCGAGGCCGCTCAGCTCCGACACTGTCCTTCAACTGGTGCCCCTGCTGGCCTTGACGGTTTAGGGTTTAGGGTTTAGGGTTTAGGGTTTAGGGTTTAGGGCTTAGGGTTTAGGGTGTAGGTTTTTAGGGTTAAGGGTGTAGGTTTTTAGGGTTTAGGGTGTAGGTTTTTTAGGGTTTAGGGTTTGCAGATTTTGTCCAGGGTGTCGAGTTGGGGAATTGCCGGTTGCTACCTATGACAAGCTCTACTACGGCCCTGATCATATAATTTGGGGGGTTTAGGAGTTTGGGGGTTTAGGAGTTTAGGGGTTTAGGGGGTTATTTAGGGGTTTAGGGAGGTTGCCGCTAGGTTGCCCCAAAGCATGATATACAGTCAACCCTACACCCTCAACCCCTGATTCTTGTTGTGTCCGAGTAGACACATTTTGCTGGGGCCGCCCCTTGCAGGGACGTGGGCGGAAACCCAACAAAACTAAGCCTTCAAACCTAGAAATTAAGGGGTATAAGGAGGGACCCTAGAAGGGACCCTTAATCTTATTCCCCTATATAACCCCCCCTATATATATATATATATCTATATACATGTATATGTATATATATATATGCACCTTTGTTGACCCTTATATATATATATATTATACTCTAATCCATACACCCTGAACCCCTACAGAACCCCTAAGGTCCCTTGTAAGGGTCCCTCCTTCAGTCCCTTGGTCCCTTGAAGCCCCGAGAAGCCCAGGTGCATGAAATCTGGAAAATGAAGACCAAGCATGTGCTGGTGGAGGAGGGTTTAGGGTTTAGGGTTTAGGGTTTAGGGTTTAGGGTTTAGGGTTTAGGGTTTAGGGTTTAGGGTTTAGGGTTCAGGGTCTAGGGTTTAGGGTTTAGGGTTTAGGGTCTAGGGTCTAGGGTTTAGGGTTTTAGGTCTTAGGGATAAGGGGAGATTCTGCTCTGCATTGGAGTTTGCTCGGGTAGGAAGGGAACAACTGCTGCAGCCTGTTGACTCAGGGTTTAGGATTTAGGGTTTTAGGGATTAGAGATTCTTGCACGACCCAAAGCCCCAAAGGTCTTTTGTACCAGGATGCCCTGGGGTACCCTTTCGAAAACTAGTTGTCCTTCGAACCCCAAGCTACCCGGGAACCCAGTGCAGCACCCTTAACCCTAAACTCTAAACCGCCCAAACCCTAAACCCTAAACGCTAAACCCCAGCAGCCCTGTGACTCAGGAGGAAAATGGGCGCCCGCAGATGGCCCTGGACGCCTTCCTCAACGACAAGTTCCTGCGCCTTGCTCAAAATGCAATATGAGGGTTTAGGGTTTAGGGGTTATTGCGCCTTGTTCGACATGAAAGCGCCCTTGCACGCGCGCGGGCCGGAGGGATAGTTTACGGTTTAGGGGTTTCGGGGGCAGGGTTTAGGGTGAAGAATGACTGGTTTTCCCTAAGGGGCTTGTGTCATTTTTTCGATAATTGCCCCCTAAATCCCATTCTAATTATTAATCCCCTTATATTAGGGTTTAGGGCTTAGGAGGTTTGGGTTTTTCGGATTCATGAGGCCGAAACCCTAAACTCTCAACATCTCACATCTCCCCTCTTGCAAGACCTCTACGCAGCAAGGTGACACAAGTAGCATTCTTGGTGATTTTTTCGCTCCGAGATGCCCAGACCCCTGGGAGGATCCAAAAAGTAGATCCCCTTGAGGGTTCCCAAGAATGACCCGGTAGTAGGTCGTGGTGGGGGGGGGGGGGTTGGGCCACTGTTTCCATCTGCTGCTGCCCCATTTGCGAAGCACTGTGGAAGCGGTGAACTTCATTTCGAAGCACCGTGACAGCAGTGGCCTGCGAAAAAAGCAGTTTTATCAGGAAAGCCTGGGGGAAGGAGCGGGGGCACTCATCGGCATTTACACCACAGTTGGCACTTTTCATTGGCGACATTTGTTTTCTTTCTGGGTTTGAAGGGGGGTGTGGGGCACGGCCCCCACGAAGCACTGTTGAAGCAGCGAAGGCTATGTGACAGCGGTGACGTGCGAAACCAAGAAATGTATTTCCAGAAAGCCGTGTTGCCAAAGCCGTGCATTTTTCCCAAATCAACGAACAT